CAGATTTGCCTAATACACTATGTCCTTTACTTTTGTGAATGCTCCTTCCATGAGTGTTGATTTTTGATCCAAGAAAGCTGAAATCTTTGACAACTTTAATCTTTTCTCCATATTCATAATGATTTATAGGTACAGTTACTAGTATTTTAGTTTTCTTTCCATTGAATTGCAAACCATATGAAGGATGTGTGTAGTCTTTGATCATCATTATATGTATGTTAAGTCATCTTCACATATAGCAAGTTTTTGTTTTATTGCCAATCCATACCAAAGGCTGTCTTAGATCTTTATCAGTAAGTATTTTAAGTCATCTTTGCTTCCACAAAGGCCACATCATTTGTATATCACTGTTCATTAATGAGTCTTCTTCCAATCCTGTTTTCATGTTCTCCTTTGTATAATCCAGCTTCTCGTTTTATTTGTTCAGTTTGAATAAGTATGTGAAAGGATATAACGGGACACATATCTTTCCTGATTTTCAAATACTTAGTGTCTTTTTGTTCTGTTGAAACAGCTACCTCTTGTTATGTACAGATCCCTTAAGAACACAGTTAAGTGTTCTGTAATACCTGTTGTTTGCAATGTTATCCACTGTTAGTTGTGATTCACACAGTCAAACACCTTTCCATTGTCAATAAAGCATAAATAAACATCTTTATGACATTTTATACTTTTAGCCAAGCTCCATCTGATTTCAGCAATGATATTCCTCATTCTTAATGCTCTTCTGAATCTGACTTGAATTTCTGGCAACTCCCTATACAGCTGTAACTGTTTGGGAATTCTTCTTTGAAAAAACTTGCTTGTATGTGATATTAATTATATTGTTCAAGATTTCCATTTCCTGTTGTGAAACCTTTCTTTGAAATTAACTCTAATATGAATCTTTCCCAGTTGGTTGGCCAGATACTTGTTTTACAAATCTCTTGGCATACACAAGTGAGTAACCCAAGCACTGCGTCAGTTTGTTGAAATATTTGAGTTGGTATTTGATCAATTCCTGAAGCCTTGTTTGTCACCAATACTTTAAATGCAGCTTGACTTTCTTCTTCTAGTATCATCAGTTCTTGATCATATGCTGCCTCTTGAAATGGTTGAGCATTGACAATTTCTTTTTGCACAGTGACTCTGTATATTCCTTTCATTTTACTTTGATACTTCCTGGATCTTTGAATCCTTCAATATTGCAATTTGAGATTTGAAATTTACCTTCTCTTTTTCAGCTTGAGAAATGCTAAACATGTTCTTCTCTTTTGGTTTTCTAACTCAAGCTCTTTGCACAGTTGATTATAGCTCACTTTGTCCTCTTGAGCTGCTCTTTCAAGTTTTCTGTTTAACTCTGTTACTTCTTCATTTTTCCCAGTTGTCTAAATTTCTTCATGTTGCTGTTGTTGTTTTTAGGTGCCATTCAGTTGATGTTGTTGTTATGTGCCATGGAGTCAGTTCCAACTCATAACGAACCTGTAAAGAGTTTCTGTGGCTGTAAATCTTAACGGGAGCAGAAAGCCTCATCTTTCTCCTGCGGAACAGCTAGTAGTTTCAAACTGCTGACCTTGCGGTTCACAGCTCAATTCGTAACCGATAGCGACTCTTAATGACCCCATGTACAGCAGACCAAAATACTGCTCAGCCCTGTGACAACCTCACAATTGTCACTATATTT